ATTATTCCTATAGGATTATTTTTCTTTCACAGTGTGTAGAGTAGTAAGACTGGCTGTGCACCCCACAGTTACAGGATCACAGAATTATTTCTCAGCTAGACCCCTCAGGCTGAGGCTATTGATATGTTCTATAGGCTGAAGCAAGAGGAAAGGTCAATATTTACATTTCACTAAGTGGCCCCATTTAAAAAAATTATAGCACCCCAAGCTACCTAGTGCTAGAGTCCTCATCAAAGTCACAGCAAGTGGGGATTCTGGAATCTCCAAATTTAAAATTCACACCAATTAAACCTTGTATCATAGAAAAAAATACAACGGCTGCAGCAGCAGCAACAACCTTGACTTGGAGTCAGGAATTACAGAAACACAGAGTTAATATAGCACCTCTAAAATCAAGTAGTTCAGTTCATTCAAGTCAAACATTTCCTGGTTGGATGACCGTGGAAAAGTCACTTTTCCTTTCTTAGCCTCAGTATCCTCATCTGACAAAAAGAAATACTAATATATATACTAGCTATCTGACAGAATTGTTGTGGATAAAGCACTTTCCAAACCTTAAAGCTCTATTTCTTTAAGTTGTGAGCTATTGCATCATTCAAGCTTGTTCACTATATACTGAGTGGGACAATTTGCAGGTGAAAACTCTTCTTGGGAAATCCTCAATCTTGATTTCTTGGTTTACAAAAGAAGAAGGGAGTGGAGAGAGCCACACTGTGTCCAATCATGATGTCTCTTCCTCACTCTGAGAAGCAGACTCTTATTAGACATTCTAATCTTTCATCAAGGCTACAAACAATGGTTCCCTATGAAATGACCATTTTGAAAAATGTAAATATTGACCTTTCCCCTCCATGCAATAGCTTGTCCTGATTGGAATCAGAATCTTCTCTTCTCTATCATAGGGTCCTATTACTTAATTCCTACAATATCTTACCTTCATAAACAGTCACCATTAGGCTGTTATTACCCACTTTTTTTTTAAGTTTGTGATTTCAAAGGTTAATTGCACCATCTGGGGAGACAGTCTTATTATCAATGGCCTTTGTGGGCCAATATTAAGTAACGCCAAGGTTGCCCTTTCCAGTCAGTTTATACAACACAGGACAAGGACATCACTTTATGAAAAATAAAGCAAGCTCATTAAATGGGTATTGCTGATTTGATTTCACTTTCTGAAGGCCTGATCTTGCTAGGATGGTGGTATTCAAGGGAGGGTCACATCTTGCAGAGATCCTGAGTAGTTCCATCATAAATCCTGATCCTTATAACCCTAAGGATCCTAGAAAACCTGCATTTCCGAGGATATAGAAACTGAAATCAAGAAGTGATTCCATATGTTGACTGTCTTCTGGTTGTATCTCATCACCTGACATCTTGAGTTGAGTCTCTAGACCTGGAGCCAAGCATAACTTCAGATTGGCACTGAGGAACCTGACTGGCAGTTTGTAGATCAGGAAACTGGAGAGAAGCTACTATTACTCTACTGGTGAGGGTGGTTGCCACAGACCAACCCCTGTGGACTGGGTTTAAGGATTTCCTTATACCAGAATCTACTGTCACACATGCTCCAAGAAACCTGTTCAATGTTATATATATTTGTATCTGAGAGTATATCTACAATGTCCCCAAATCCTTCATATAGCTATTAAAGCTACAGTGATGCTTAACAGCAGGATGGGCCTTTGGTGAAATCTGAAGTTGGCAGAATTGATGTCAACAAAGTTTGCTTTTGATGCTTTTTATGTCTCCTTTAAATGCCTGATCTCTTAGATCACATGGAAAGTGTTCCTCAAATCACACTGTATTCTTCAAGGCTTTCAAAGAATTCAATTCAACAAGCGTTTATTAAGCATATGCACAGTGAAAGTTATTGTGCTTAGGCACTGGAGATACCAAGATAAAAATTAGATAGTTCCTGGCTTTGAAGAGCTCACATTCTACTGAGATGATATAGTATGTACACAAGTAAGTGAATACAATGTACTTTAAGAGGGAGAGAGTGATAATAATTGCCCATCCTCTATACTTTTCTAGTCTTTTTTATACCTTACTCCTTTCCATATATTCTATGATCTAATAACACTGGCCTTTGGCTGGTCTCTGAGCAAAATACTCCATCTCCTCAATCTGCTCATTTTCACTGGCTGCCCCTTAGGTCTGCAATGTTCTCCTTCCTTCTCTCTACCTCCTGGCTTCCTTCATATCTCAGCTAAAATTCCACCTTCTTCAAGAAGCCTTTCTTGATTCATCTTAATGCTAATGCTTTCTCTCTGAGGTTTTCTCTAGTTTATCCCACATATATTATTGATGGGCAGCTAGGTGGTTCTGTGGATAGAGTGCTGGGACTGGAGTCAGGAAGACTCAACTTCATAAGTTCAAATCTGGCCTCAGACACTTATTAGCTGTATGACCCTAGGCAAGTCACTTAACCCTTTTTGCCCTAGTTTCCTCATCTGTAAAAATGAGCTGGACGAGGAAATGGCAAACCACTTCAGTATCTTTGCCAAGAAAACCCCAAATGGGGTCACAAAGAGTTGGACACAACTGAGAAACGGCCGAACAACAAAAAGAATTGTTATTTACATGTTATCTGAACAGTAGACCATGAGGTCCTTGAGAATAGGAAATTTTTTGGTCTTTCGTATTACCACCACAGCTTAATAAAATACAGGGCACATGGTAGGTACATCAAAGTAAGGTAAGGAATGTTGTATGCAGGGAACAGTTAGCTGCATAGTGTGCTAGAAAGGAGAGTGCATGAAGAGGTGTAATACGAAATAAGACAGGGAAGGTATGTGGGAAGCCTAATTGTAGAGATCTTTAAATGCCAGGCAGAAGAATTTAGATTTTATCCTGAAGCAATAGAGATCTGTTGAAAGCTCTTGAGGATGTAGGGTAGTAAAATGATTGGAACTGTGTTTTAAAGTGTCAATTTGATGCTTTGTGAAGAATGGATAAAGGATGGAAGAAGGATGCAGAGTGAATGATTATGAGGTTATTGAAATTGTCCAGGTGAACAGTAATGAGGACTCAAACCAGGGAAGAGATTGTGTGATTGAGAAGAAAGGGATAGATGTGAAAGTTGTTGTGGGCGCAGGACCAGTAAGACTCTTCTACTCATTAGATATCAGGGTAGAAGGACAAAGAGAGAAGGATGACTCCAAGTCTATGAAACTGGGTGACTGGAAAGTTCCCTCAATAGAAATTGGGGGATTTTGGAGGAAAAGTATATTTATTTTAGGGAAATTGTAAGAGTTTGGATTGCACATTTGGAGTTTGAGATGCCTATGGGATATCCAGGTGGGGAAGCTTTGTAGGTCATTGATGATACGAGATTGGAGTTCAGGAGAGAGAATAGGGCATTACATATAGATTTGGGAGAGATCTACATAGGGATGAGAAGTGAACTCATGGAAATTGATGAGATCAGCAATGGAGAGAGTGGAGATAGAGAAGCGTTCCAGGACAGAACTAGTAAGGGATGTCCACACATAATCAACAGGAGCAGATCCAGCAAAGGAGAATGAGAAGGAGCTATCTGACAGGTAGGACAGCTGAGACAGTAATAATGTCAATGTCCAGGAGGAAAAGGTAGTAGACAATGTCAAAAGCTTCAGAGAAGTCAATAAGAATGAGGACACAGAAGAAAAAAATGAGGCAATTGGATCCAGTGTCTAAGGGATTACTGGCCACACTAAAGAGTGAACTTTCACCGAAGTGATGGGGTCAGAGGCCATATTTCAATTGATTGATGTCAGTGGGAGACAAGGAAATTGGGGTAATGAGTACAATTATGGAAAGTCAATATCATCTAGTCTTAACTTTCTAATTTTAAACATGATTAAATGGAATCTCATGGAGGCAAAGTGCCATGCAGTGGAAAGAGTACAGGGTTGGAGATACTGGGTTTGAATCTCAACTCTGCCTTTTTCTACTGGTGTGAATGAACTTGAGCATCCCTGTGGATCTCAATATCCTCTTCTGTGAAATGGGGATAGAAATACCTATGCTACCCAAGGTTGTTGTGAGGATCAAACAAGGTAATGTATATGAAAATATCTTGAACACTATAGAGTGCTCTTTAAATGCCAGCTCCTATTTTTATAATATAGTGCATCATGAGCAGGTCTTTAAGTGAGGAAGACCTGTATTCAAATCCCATCTCAGACATAGTGATTGGGTGACCCAGGACAAGTCACTTTATCTCTTAATGTTCTAGGTAAGACTATAAATTGCAGAAAAGGTGCTGACCAGGATTGGTAGAAAGTATTTCCTCTCCCAGGGATTCCTTATACTAATGAAATCATAGGACCACTCTCTATCCCTCTGGTTCTAAGATTTTATGTTTCTCCTCCTGCTGTGCGCAGCCCATTTCTGTTCTCTATTACCAGGCTCAGATGATTCAGGGACAAGTTCTTTTTCTGTATCAGAGAAGATGGTTTGCAGTTCTTTAAAAACAATGTAGCTTCCACAGTGAAACAGAAAGAGGGCTGGACAGAATAAATGTAAAACTGTTTTCTAAAAGTTTCTAAAGCAAGAAATGAAACAGACCAGGTACAGTTTCAGCCAAGAGCTGTTCATGTTTTCTGGGGTCTCCCTTGCTTGTCCTTCTTTCCATTTACTACATGAAAGGTAGAACCAAAGACTTGGTTTTGTTTGAGGGAAGCTCTTGATCATTTGAGCTGCCTGTGGATTGAGAGACCTGGACAATAGGTTTCCTTGTTTCATCAAAGACAAACTCAGCTTGACATTGTAGTCAGTATCCAGCTAATGGGCACTGACCTCATTTCAGAACTTTGGACCTATCTTTACAATCACTTGTGTTGATAACCCTTCTTAATGGTTTTGTGTGTGGGGAAGGGGGGAGGAAGGGTTAATCCCCAATCCACTTTTCTAGTCCAAACTGGCCTAATCTTCCTAAGGCAAAGGTCTATTTATGCCACAGCCCTTTGGAAACCTTTACTCGTATTTCGTTGCCCATGGAATAAATTACAAAATCCTTCAGCTAGCAAGTAGCCTTAAAAATCATCTGGTCCATACTCTTGCTTTTACAGATGAGGAAACAGACCTCCAAGGGTTAAGTGACCAGGTGACCTTGGGATCATATACATATAATAACTACTTCACAATCAAGCCCCAATTTAACTGCAGCTAACTAGTCATATGACCTAGGGTGAGTCACCTTTTCTGTACCCCAGTTTTCTTATCTATTGAATGAGTAGATTGGACTGAATAACCTTTGAGATCTCTTTCAGTTTTAACAGACTATGAAATGACTGCCTGTTAACTAAAAATTTCATCCTTATATTACATGATTCTCTTCCATGGAGTGTATGCTGCAGCCAAATTTGGTTACTCATGACTTTCTGAACATAATTGTTTTTTCTCCCCCTCTGAATGCCTTCAAACCGACTGTTCCCTATGCTTGGAATGCCTCCCTTCCCAATTTCATCTATTGAAATCTTACTGAGCTCAGATGTCAACTCTTCCATAATGTCTTCCTTGATTTTCCCAGCCTGAAATGATCTCTCCCTCTAATGAGCTGTCATAGAACCCTGTCTACACCTTTCCTTTAGACTTTATTCTGCTTTGTGTTACATTTTTGTTTATTTTGGTGCATATCTTACCCTCATATATATGTACACATATGCAGTATATATAAGCTTTTATAGTTTAAAGCTATATGAAGACTTTTTGGGACACTCTGTATATGTATACATTGCTGCTGTTGATCCGTTGTTTCAGTCATGTCTGACTCTTTGTGACCCCATTTGGGGTTTTCTTGACAAAGGTACTGGAGTTGTTTGCCATTTCCTTCTCCAGCTTATTTTATAGATGAGGAAATTGAGGCAAACAGGGTTAAGTAACTTGCCCAGGGTCACATAGCTAGTAAGTGTTTGAGGCCGGATTTGAACTGTACCACCTAGCTGCATAAGTACACAGACACACACATACGAGACAGAGTGGCATAATAGATTGAGAATTGGCCTTGAAGTCAGGAAGTTCTGGGTTCAAGTCCTACCTCTGACACATACTGGTTCTGGCACCCTAGGAAAGTTACCCTTTAACTCCCTAAAACTTTACGTTGCAGATCTGCATCAGTAGAGGAAATTCTTAACTGGTATATCTTTATACTACTGATGAAATCCCAAATATGGTAAATATACATATGTATGTGGCTATGTATATGGGTATGGATGAATAGTTAAATGAGTGAATTGCCCTAACCTACAGCCTCACATTCCCTGTGGTTTGAACTTTAATCAAAATGTAAATATATTTGGATTTGCTAGAGAGGTAATTCCTCTGATATTCTGATAAATTCCATTTTTATTCCAGAGATCCATCCAGCCTTATGATACTATGATGAGGACTTGAAATCCACCGGAGGAGAATCAAGTACATTTAAGGAATGCTAAAGAGGCAGCCTGCTTCCCATTGGACTTCCACCAGTCTAATTTTTCCAAACATTCCTTGCAGAATGGGTAGGGAAAGTCCAAGGCTTTTTACTGTTGTTGTCATTTTGTATTGTTTATCCATATTGTGGCTGTGATCTCTTATCACTTTACCTGAAAAGTGAGGATTTGCATGATGAGGGATATATGGGATACTCTTCCCCTGCCTTCCCCTTCCAAGGCTGATCCTACGCAGGAATTCATTCTTTATTCACTAGAAAGCTGCTTTTGAGATTCTCATTTTTCTCCTAAAGGATAATGCTACTCAGTAACTCTTCATTTTGTCTCTGCAAGATTCCAACCCTGAACTCTTAAGGTTGGGGCTGTTAAGAGCCAGCCTTTGGACTGCTACTGCATAGGATTTCTTCTTTTCTCTCTAGAAAGTTGGATTCTGGAACCTGGGATCGAAATACTCTCTACTCCGGATATGTAGGTGAGAGCACATGCAGTTCTCATGTGTCTCTGTTCTATGGCAGCCATTACTAAATCCCAATAGGGAACAAGAATCCTGCCTTACCCTAGGGGCCTAAGTCTACTCTTAGCTGTTCTGTTCTCTGGTCTTATCTCTGAAAAGGAAAAAAAAAGGTGGAGGGATGAAAGAGTGAAAAAGGGGCCCTGTCTGCCACAAAGATTTCAGTTTATAGAACTTAGCAAAGGGATAGCTCTGCCCTGAAGCAGTTCAAACCAAATAATTCAACTTTATCCCATCCACAATGGCTCAAGTCAATCATCCCATTTCCAAATGAGCAGGTGAGTACATATAATTAAGGACCCAAACAAAGGCTCCATATTCTGCAAGTTTGTCAAGTTGGTCAAGGAATTTCTCTGATCAGCCCCCTACAATGACAAGAGTATCAACAGCACACATTTATTTCTGTAGTAGCTTTCAGGTACAAAGTACTTTTGTGTCATTTATTTATTATTAATTTCTTTTTTTAAATATCACATTTGACCCTCAGAAAACAGACTCAGAGACATTAAATGGCTTGCCATGGTCATATATTTGTCAACTGGTGGATCCATTACACTTTTAGGACAGGGATTTCGTCATTCACTTTTATCTCTTCTTTATCATTTCATGTATAAGTAAATCTTATGTAGCATAATTTTTGTAGTCCTGCACCCAAAGGACTTCTCTACTGTTCTCCTATGGTAGATAAAATTTCTACTATTGATATCACTCCTTTGGGTTAAGTCACTATACTATGTCTTTAGTAGGCCCTATAAATGTAAATGTTAAAACTTAATTTTTTTTTTATCCTGGGTAAGTGGGTAACTGATCAACCTACAATCTTGCTTTAAAACCTTAGCACCAGTTCATTTAGGCAGATAGGTGGTACAGGGGACAGAGTTCCAGGCCTAGAGCCAGGAAGACTCATCTTCCTGAGTTCAAATATGGCCTCAGACACTTACTAGCTGTGTGATCCTGGACAAGTCACTTAACCCTGTTTACCTCAGTTTCTTCATCTGTAAAATGAGCCAGAGAAGGAAATGGCAAATCATTCCAGTATCTTTGCCAAGAAAACCCCACATGGGATCACGAAGAGTCAGACAGGACTGAAACAACTGAACAACAATAACAAACCAGTTCATTTATCCAGATGACTCATTAGTTCCCCAGTATTGTCTCAAAGGAAAGAGATAGAAGACAGGGAGTGTTTCATAAGAAGGAGATAGGAGGGAAAAGGCTGGTGTTCAGATGCATGAGATCATAGGACTTAAGAGTCGGAAGATACCTTAGAGATTACCTACTCCAACTTTCTTATTTTATAGGTGAGGAAACTGAGGCCTAAACAGTTAATTGACTTGCCTGAATTCCTATAGTTAGAAAGTAGAAGAACTGAGATTTGAACCAGGGCCTCTGATGCCACATGTAATGTGCTCCTTCCACCATGTTATTCTATTTTTAAACTCTAGTCAACCTTGGGGTCTGGAGCAGATTCCTGAAATAATCCACCATTCCTGTGGAAATCAGTGGTCATATTAGGCAGCAAAGACTTGGCATTAACATGGTGATGTGAGTTGGAGATTCACATCATATTAGCACCAGCTCTGGTATTTAGGACTTTTCTCTTGAATCATGGAAAGAAAAGCTCTGACAAGGTTTTTGAGTTGGAATGTGATATGTGAAATGGGTCTCTTTTCAATGACTCACCACCTCTTTTCTGCTGGTGTAAGAGTTATGGAGCATGTGAGCTTGCAAAATTGTGCGAATTTGTTCAGAAATCACAGGTCTAGACATATGGGGTTGTGACCCACAGTGTGAGAAGCACTGAAGGGTTCACCAGTGGAAAAAAGTTTAAGAAGCTCTGGTCTAGAGGAAGGACAGCCAATCTGACTCAACAACCATAAATTCCAAAGCATATGCACATCTTCATTGGATTCCTGCAAAAGCCCACAGCCCTTTTAAGCCCAGGTGTCATGGTCCAGGGAGAGAGAGAGAGAAAACTCTTAACTCCCTTCCTGCCTTGCACTCATTTTTTGTAGCTTCAGAGTTTAGCACCGTGCCTTGCACACATAACAAATGCTTGTTTGATTCCTTGTTTTAGAAACATATTTCTATTCTATTTTAAAAGCATGATTTTATTATCTATTTTATATGTTAATATTAATTGTTATTAATAGCAATTTAAGGTTTGAAAAGTGCTTTACAAATATCTCATTTTATCCTCAACAATTCAGAGAGGCATATGTTTTTATTATCCCTACTATATAGATGAGGAAACCGAGGCAGAGAAAAATTTAGGTAACTTGCCCCATGTCACAGAGCTACTATGTGTCTGAGGCCCCATTTGAATTCAGGTCTGACTCCAGGTTCAGTTCTCTAACCACTGACTGCCTCAGCTACCTAAGACTTACAAGAGTCTTCAGTCACTTCATCTCCAAAAGCTTCAATTAGTTTAAGAACAATGAATTAATCAATCCACAAGCTTTTATTAAGCACAGACTATGTTCCAGGCACGGTACGAGGGGGTGCAAATAAAAAGAATGAAACAATCCTTATTCGTTAATGAGCTTACATTCTAACAGGGAGACAAGAATAGAGCATAAGCAAAGAAAATTTGATTTATAGGAATCTGATTGGGAGTTAGAACCCGGTGTCCAGACAGGTTCTTAGCTCTACTACCTCCCTAACTGTTAAAGCCCTCTCCATGCCTCAGTTTCCTTATCTGTAGAAGGAAGAAATTGGACAAGATAATCTCTGAAGTCCCTTCCAGCGCTAACATACTTGGAATATAACTATTTTTCTCACTTTGGTTTTCTAGATGTTTATGCTATTTCTTTTCCTCTGAACACAATTAAAATTTTAAACGTGAAATGGTCAATCTCTGTTCACTTGACTTCCTGACCGTAGCACGTAGTTTGGTGCTCAAATGAATGGAGCAGACTGTTGAAAACAAAAGAGCCACAGAAATTGAGAGCCCAAAGGAACTCTAGAGACCATCTAGTTCAACTCCCTTACTTTTGCAGGTGAGGAAACTGAGGCTCAGACACTTGCCCATGATCGCATAGCTAGTTAGCGGCAGAAGCACCACTAGAACCTGGGTCCCCTCATTCCTGAACTCCGCTGCTCTTTCTCCTCCTCATTAAATGGATACAATTTGAAATAGAATGTGTGAGAACAGTGGACATTGGGTGCCATTATCTCCTGGACTCTGGCCCAATATTATTAAAGAAATCTCGTGACACTGACAGTATTGTTGTCCAAGGGGTCTTTGTGTCCATTTTGCCTTCAGAGAAGCCTTTTCTTAATCCCCAAAGGTTGTGAAACAGAGGAGAGGTTAGGGGGAGAAGCTGACAGATGCCTGTTCTTTCTTTGTTTTCTTCCATCTGAAACTCCTCCCCTTTCCCACAAGGCCAAAGTGGAGAAAGACTGCGTTGGTTTCAATCAAAAAAGCCTTTTTCAAGTAGGGAGGGAGTTGAGGAGGACATCGGAATTACAAGAAGCTCATGGCAAAAAAATTCACTTTTAAACCCCTTAAATAACCTTATACTTTGGGGAAAAAGTATTTCTTTTAATAAGAAATCAGACTGCAAGAGAGATGGAATGTGTACAGGTGAAAGTGTGAGAGATACAGAGTAGATTTTTCGGTTAGGTGTTTAGCATGGTCTCACACACCTCTAGATTCTGTAGGCCTCCTTCCCCAGCTGGGGATGCAGAGATGGGAGGCGCTCCCTGGGAAGTTGTGACAGACTCCAGGGGTCTGGCTCAGATAGCCAATCTGTCTTCCTGCTGAAAGGTCATCCTGAAGCAGGGATACCACCTCATCTCTTATACATGGAATCTATCTGTCTGCCATCTGGTAGGAGGGGGGAGGGACTGGTGGTTGGTGGTGCTGCTTGTAGGTTCCTGGGGTGCTAAATGCTTGAATTTGAATTTCACTGATTGTCCCTAGAAGAAAGGAAATCTTAGCTGGCAATAGTATGCATCTTCTCACTCACACCTACTGGGCTAACTTGCACTATGGAAGGATAACAGGACAGGATTTTCCCAGAACTGTTTCGATCTGTATCCCATTGAAAGAGATAAGAATAAGATTAACAACAACAACAAGGCCTGATTTTTCCAGCCTGGAATCTTGGCCTCCACGCCTGGCTCCTCCTCACTTCCCATAGGGTGAACCTCTTGCCTTGTCTTGCTGGGTACTAGGTCTCTATTACTACCACTTCTTTTAGTCTCCTCTCTGTGCCCTACACTAGCACCTTTACTCCAGTCCCAACTCTACCCTTCCTAGAATCCCTTCATTTGTTGTTTTTCTCTGCTGGAGTATAATTTTCTTTAGGGTCGGCACTGCTTTGCTTGTCTTTATTTGTATCACCAGATACTTAATAGAGTGCCTGACACAGAGTTGTTGTTGTTCGTCCTTTGTTTGTGAAGAGGATCAATGATATCATGGGGTGACATCTAGACTTGTGCATGAATTGGATTTAAATGAGGTTGAGTTGCACAAAATTGTTAGCCTCACTTTCTCTTCCAGAGACATCAGAGTCCAGTGGCAAGACAAAAGTCAGGATGACTGGTGATGGCCCAGGATACAGCGGATGACCTTGGCATCTTTGATGTCTGACCAAGCTCCACAGTGCCTGCTTCTGCCATCTTCGTGGCCATTGGAACAAATTGTTCTCATCCAACCTTTCCCCTGGGGGAAGTCTTCATGTGCTTGGGGTAGACACCCCCCTAACTGATGGATTTGAGGTCTGTGGTTACCCTCAAGCTGGTTTAGCCCATCTGCTGAAATGGTTTACTAGGGTGTGGCTGATGTGCGTGCTACAGCTTCTTGGAGTCACAGGTGAGAGTTGAGTGCAAGGTGGACACAAAAGGTGAATGAACAGTCCTGAAAAGTGCTCAGCCAGTCCTCACACCAGAGGTGCTAATCCTCCTTGCACACCCATATACCCCTGGGACATAGTAAGGGCTTAAGTGCTCTTTC